AAACGCTCAAACAGACAACTCAGCTAGCTTTTGCTAATTTTAGTTCTACCTCCAACATCCTGCGGGACTAATCAAGCTGTTGCCTTTGTACCCAGCATAAATCATGGTTCATTGTAATCTAATAGTATAGGCACACAGTCAAAAGACCCACAGGATGGAGACTGCATAATAAACCTTAATATCGAAACTGTTCCTGCATGAAACGTGAAGCATCTGTAGTAAAGACATCGCACTTTATCTAAGTTTTGTGTAGCGTTTAACACGAAGATGCAAATCTAGCAATCTCTTAAATGTCGCGATGTCTGTTGCGTTTACCAAATTTTTGGCAGTGCATTCCAGTGGGAACAGATTACAAGAAAGTACAGATATTTTCTACGATCCAAACGGGAATGTTGCGTTAGTGGTTTCAGGTGATGATCTCAACATTACTTGTAAGGGGCTAAGTTCAGCAGGGATACACATGGGTGCTCGCTTACAGTTAGCATCCGGTATGTGAGGACGAGATCCCCGAGAGGCCGTCGGTATTCTGAGGAAACTACACCAAGCAACTGCAGGCACCGTTTGTAACTGGGGCCGGATAGTCCATCTGTTGTCTTGGTAGCCCTTCTTTTGGGTTGCTCCAAGAGACAAGCATCTCGTTTTAACCATGGGCGCCAAGCCTTAATACTATACTCAAAATAAGGATGAAGATATTTGTTGGTCGACAGTGGTACTAGCCATCACTCAAAGTGCCGAGTGCTCACTTCAAAAGCCACAAGTTCAAGTTCGCCACATTCGCTACTTTCGAGCATTGGATTGAAGTACCAAGACTTGCTTGAACAATGATACCTAAATCTCGTTCACCAGTCATCTGTTGTAAATCGTGCTATCTCTGGGAGCTAAGTGTTGATGAAGCTGTTACGAAAGGTTAGCAGGTAGCACTTTGCAGGGTGCAGTGGGACCTTGTTCCTTTCTGCTCATTCGGCAATCCGAGCCATATCTTCCTGAAGATAGGCACGATCGTATGCTGAACGAATTGCTCCTCATGTTTTAGCATCATCTCTGAATACCCGTATCAAGAAGGAAATGTTTTCTGGGAGGTCATATATGTAAACTAATAAGAGTAGCGGGCCGAGGACGGATCCTTGGGGTGCACCACGGGATACGTACAGGCCTTCATAGTAAGTGTTGGCTATTCTTCCCTTAAAGCCTCTTGCTTGTGATAATCTTCCAACCAGGTGAGCAGGGAAATTTTGATACCTTAGGTAGCGCGCTTTTGAAATGAGAACGAAGTGAACGACCCTGTCAATTGCATTAAAAAATCTAAGCAAACCACTTCTATGGGGACCACTTCATCAGCTGCAGTTGTCCGTGAATCCCGAGCAAAGAATAGATTGGTGAGCCAAGTTCGGCTGCGTCTAAAACTATGCTGGATATTAAAAACTATTCGCAGGCTTTCAAAATATCGCTTCCCTTCATCTGCCATTATCTATTCTAACAGTTTTGATAAAAGAGGTGGGACAGTAACAGATCGGTAGTTGGCATGATCTGTTAGCTTACATCCTTTGTAGATTGGAGTGATGACACCAAAATTCCACTCAGATGGGGTGTATGGAAGTCAAACAGACTTTGGAAAACACTGCAAGACATACTACTATGATGGGGGGAAACGTTTTAAGTACACTTGGGCAGAGCCCGTCGATTCCGAAGACATTGTTTTCCTTGAGAGACTGTAATTTTTTCACGGCAGCCTCTGGAGTGAAGCTGACACTGTGTAAGCCGACGGCATTTGTTGAGACTTGATGGAGAAAGGTCCCGTGAGATTTGTAGCCACCGAACCAAAAAGTAGGACTAGAGTATTTGCGGCATCCATAGCTGTAGTCGTTAAACCCCTGGCCATCTTGAGTGTAGTATTCCAGGTTTACCCTTTGTTTAGTTGTTCACATTCCTGCGTCTGTTATCATTCACCAAATAGTCTTCCTTAAAAGAAAGAACCAAATTAATAGCATTTTCGATACCGTTCGCGACAGCAGTTCTTTTTTGGTGGTCTGCTGTGGACCTGCATGTACCAATGGGGATTACCATACGACACTGGGCTGCAAATTTGGTTGCCTCTGCAGAAGAGCTTTTTGCTGGGCGTCGTTTGTATGCAACCGAGGCAGAGCTGGGATAATGAAGGTACTATCCACTCCAAGTCGGCTTGCGGTAAACCGTGTCGTGCAATATCCCTCCGTTTCATCACTTAACGAGGATATCCAAGGCTGCGGTGTTTTCCATCTCACGGGACATCGATAAGTTAGAATGAATTGAATTCACGGTGGTTAACAGACAGCTAAAATGTTCGCTGTTGTTGCATGCCAGAATTGACCGTAGTTATCATGACATTGAGGATTAAATGCGGGCACAAATAACTTAGTAAGTAATTAATCCGTGAAAGCCACTTAAAATTAGCTATTCGCAGCGGTTACTTGTGCAGCCTACACTTGCACAGGATGGGGAGTTTAAGGTATTAAATGAACAAGTAGTTGTCTGACATGTTTATATGAGACGCATGAATCGGCAAAATTTAAAACTGAACGATTGTCAACACATTTAAGACTTTCCATCTACATAAATTTTAGGTCTTGGTGTGGCGATAAGTATTCTCTATGAACAGCAAGAAACTCATAGTTTGCATGGTGTTGCCATTGTGCGACCTGCACGCGATGTTGCTGATAAGTCTATTACCGGCGTACTGTACCATATTACTGGCAAGCATCCCAGGATTTCTGTTATCTTGACGTGTGGTCATACTGAATGCAATTCTACTGTGTTAGCTTTAAGAAAGCTACAACAATCAATTCATGCTACTGACGTAAGGAATGTGGCACCCCTGCAACTTTTATAAAAACGGAAGGTGGTCTTGTGTGTATCCTATGCGGCCACTAAGGATAAGTTTGCGAAAGCGATACAGTAAAACCTCAGTGGAGAAGAACATGCGATGGGTTAATAATCCGTCAGAATGGTAGGTTTCCGTTTCATGCAGAGCATAAAACAACTCTTCCTGGTATCTTTGACCAGTCATGTCAGCACGATTGACTCATGTGTCAAAAAAGACGTGCCTTTCGCATTTGCAGTTGATATTAGCTCCAGATTATAGTCTCACCGGAACAGGTCCACCTTGTGAATCGTCAGCGAACCAAGCTCGTCTGCGCTCTCTGCCTCTAACCTTGGGCCTTATCATTCGGTCGATATTGTGATAGAGTAGGGTATACTTGTATCAGGAAGGGCTGTTCAATCATCGTTGGGGAGAAAGCAATTGGTTAACGAGCGGTCAATTAGGGCGATTAAATACCAAGCGCTACCAGGAAACAAATATGGAATCCATAGGTTAGGTAAGGCTATTCTCAATAAGGGTTAACGTGAAAGCCATTCATGTTGAGACTGACGTCTAACCAGCGTTTTATATCCCAGTATTGCTAAATAATAAGGTTGCAAAACATTTCTTTGTATAAACGAGTAATAGTCTTTAATTTAATTTCGCTGTTTGCTGATGAACGGAAATGAACTGCCACCAAGTGCGTTTCTTAGTCTACTACGTTAGCATGATCCAATCAAGAACTGATCGGATTAAGTGAAACGAAAGATCTCTATCAATAACCAGTGCTTAAGGAAATGCTTTAGTTCTAAAACCTAGGATACCAAATGAGACTGTTCATTGTCTATCACTTCGTATTATTATACTATATCACGTACAGATTTCAGACTCCGTCTGTTTCCTCTCGCAAGGGCTTAACTTAAATAGGGGCCGGTGATCTGTTGAAAATAACGTAACCCATTAATGAGTTGGGATCAAATATTTCCATCTCAAATGAAGGGGGCCATCTGAAATCTAAAAATACATGACAAGGTCCCTACACCTGCAACTGTCAGACGCTGGGTAAAATAATTATGTGTGACAAAATTGTTAAAGACGGACCAAGATCAAGAAGAGCACAAATTGCCAACGTTCACGTACGCCTTTACTATGTCGTTGACTTGATAATGTAATGTCGCCAACCATCAACTATTCAAATACGGAGTATGTTGGATACCCCCCAGGAACGAGCTTCTCATATGCTTAATAAGTACCTCGGTTGCTCAAAATTTCCTACTCTCTTGGCCCTTGTTTTTTTACGCATGAGCAGAAGCGCACTCGGTATAAAATGTCAATGAATAATTTGGGACGTTTTGAGGTCCCTGCCGTTAGTTTTCTTGATTAATACATCACTGTAGATGAGTGCTAAGACGAACACTATCACCCCAAAACAAGTACTATCCGAACAATGGAAAAAGTCTAAGGTCACACCTGTAGCGTGGGAGACGATGTTGTTGGTTTTTTGGGTGTGCGGTGTGTGTCGATAGTGAATTTCTTCAAAAAATTTCATAACGTCCCCGGAAAATAGTACGCTAATGTACTGTAGTGTATCAGATGCAGAATACTGAAAATCTTCAGAAATACTAGCGAGAGTTTTTCACCTACACCATGACAGAGCTCCATACTACACACTTGCAGTTAATGTAACAGCATTCCCGTACCATGGTAAGATACTGTAGTTGTGTAGTCTAAGTTGTTCCTTATTCACCGTATTCACTAGACTTGGCACATATAAATAACCACCTGATTCTTTCTTGGAAAATAACGGCAGGTGATCCGCCTTCCCTCCAAGACAATGTGATCATGCATTCCGTTGAAGAGATTTTAAGCGCACTGGAACTTATTCACTTCAGACCTCATTAATTAGATACCGGGTATGGAATCCTGTACGCAATACCTCGTACTAAGAACAGCTAATGGCATATAAAGAATTTTCTCTGAACTACACGGGTATTAATTTGCTGGCTTTTTGATCAAAATGTGTATTCACCTTAAGTGCTGGCTATTAAGGACTGTGTATTGCAATGAACTTGGCCAAGCTTTGCAACTGATATTTTCATGCGTCGTTTATCATGCTCACAAAATCCTTTATGCACAGCTGATCCACACATCTAAATCTTTACAGCCCCCATGCCTCCTCCGTACCCGTCGGAATTTCAAATGCCACAACGTAAGTTTACTAGAGTATCATGTGGTGTACTGCGATGCGTTGCACATGTCATTAGTACCATACATCGAATACTAATTTAAAACCAGCGATAACACAATTTTATGCTTTACTACTACATTCTTACTATATTGAATAGCCAACGTCCAACCGGTGACCACACAGCCCCAGTACATTCCAGTGCCATCGTCCTTCCAACCGTCGGCTGGCATGTGTCCACTCTGTCAGCAGCAGTGCATCACCAATGTTGAATTTCACACTGGCGTCATGACCTGGAGTCTCTGCGTAGTCATTTCTGTTTTCGGGTACGTTGTATCGAAGCGGTTGGTCTCTTTATTGATTTGACAGTTGCAGCTCGCCGATAGTTTGCTCAATGTATTCCGTGAGCTAGATACTGACGAAGTCGTCTAGAACAACACGCTTTACTGACCTGTTCCGACTGCTTATGTGCATGGCGTTAGAATATTCCCCGTTAGAAATGCAGACCTCAACATCTTCATTGTTGTATCTTTTTCATCCACCCCTTAGATTGGTTCATTAATAGTAAATGTCAGGTGCAGCGGCTTTAATTAGAAGTGTAATGGGTTCCTTTCGAAATTCATGCTCCCTACGTGCAACTGTCAAAGAGTTACATAATATGTTGGCGTTTTGGAACCATAAATAGCACAATAAAATGCCTTCTTGGCGGTTCATCTAGGTGTATGTAGCGTTCATTGAGTGAGATCTCTTCCTCTGATTTACGACAACCATGTTTTAACAATCAATCCCTTCAGGTTAGGTTTCCCGTAGGCATTAGTTCCGTCGATTTCAAGGATAAAGACAAAAGATTTATTCTTGATTGTGCGAGACACGCTTCCAGAGACACGATCATAATAATACAAACGCGTAACATAAGTAATGGTACAGCAATGTTACGATTTAACCAGTACATACTGCATGTATGTGTGTAGGTAAGTGTACAATGTGTGTGGATGCATGTGCAAGTAATCATGTTGTGTGAATTTGTTGGTATTACTGTGTATTTGTGAGTTTGTTTGGTCAATGCGCCAATATAAGAAGGTATCAAATGAAACCTTTGATGTGGTTGACGTTCGCAAAATGTGTAAGATCCTCCGGTATTGCAAGGAGGTGGCTTTATTTAGCGGCGTGTCATATCCACCACGTCATAGTGTTGTTAAGAAGACATTTGTGAGCTTTTATAGAGAGAAGGCTTGCCAGGAGAAAACCCATCACGTTCTGGAACACTGCTGCTGAACTATTAGCTGGACCGAGATTAACCCAAACCACCCAGCTGGCACCACCTGGAGGTTGTTCGGCCAGTCATCCATATAGTGGCTTAGCGTAATTTGTAATTGGTATTGCATGTGGTAAGCATAGCGCACACCAAAACTCACACCACTGGTGGCACTTCCATACTGCTCGACTGTTTCGCTTGATCTTAAAGTAACCTGTTCATTAGTTGTACGTCATTTTAATCAGGAGCTCAGAACCGGTGACTCTGTACATGTTAGCGCTACCCATTCGCAATACCGCACTTAAAGACCGGTTTCGTATGATTTTTACACTATTCAGGTAACGTCAGCAGTACCGTGTCTCAAATGACAACTGTCTATTTTGTTCAAAATCAGTATGCTTGCAAACAACCTGCCGCTTATGCGGCATATCTGGTTGTGGTGATTGGTTGTTGATACGGCTTGCGATTAGTCGAGGTTCTCGTTTGCCGCCATACCATGTGCCGACTTTTATTTATCAGTTGCTGTACGACCTCCGTTAAACAAGAGCCTGTAGATGCACGTTCGTATTGCGGATACCATTTTGATCCGATCGTATCCCAAATAAACTATACCACAAAGAAATGTTCACTTTTATTAACTCCTGATTGACAAAGTGGACCTGTCAAAGTGGTTGTGTTTCCTCCGATTTTCTGTCTGTTTGGTCGTTTCACATTTCCATTATCCATCACAAAGGCGTTTACTGGTGGCTTGCGCTTAATTTGTTGCTTCGGATTTGCCATAATGTCTGCCAGACAATTGTTAGGTTTGTTTACCTGTAAGGAAACATTGCTGCTCACACAAACCAAAATTACTCGCTCCAAGCAGATAGTCGCCTGACAGCGGAGCTTACTTCTGAAAACTGGATCCTAGCTAAACTGCTACACACAAAATAATGTGTTCCATGTAACTAAAGAGACACTGATCACACATTTGAAAATAGCGCTCTGATAGGCTGCACTGAAATAAACAATGTATATGGCATCCGAATTCTAAATAATGAATCACGGTGCTTCAGTACATGTCTCTTCTTCCTTAAACCCTGTGCAGACAGCTGTCTAAACAATACCAACTACACGGTGCGTAGCGATAGTAGTAGGAAATTTGTCCTGCAGGAGCTCCTTATCATGAATTTACTGCTGAAGCAAGCATTAGAAGAAAGTGTGATAATGAGGTACAGGAACTTGTTTGTATGGTTTTTTTCTCAGAAGTAACTTTGCCAACCACGGTGAACTATCAATGGAACAATGGAACAATAGCTTATTACGGGTTAAAAAACATTGCTAAACAAATCCCGTGGGATGGAAATTATTGCAAAGATCAATTCCATAATAAAGTGAAAAGCGTTGTGGTGGACTCACCATAGACTTATGTGGAATAGCGGAGGTCTTCGCGTATTAAACGTATAAATCCATAAATCCACTGGTTAGGCGTTTGGCAAGACACCGTTTGATTGAGTTTCGTAGCCCCTGGCTAACAAGTCATAAAATGAAACGTAAGTGAGACAATGCATTGTCAACACGTTTTTTAAATATCGCCAGATTGGGAGCAGATACGACATAATTAGTAGGGCGTTCCAAGGGTGGCACACGCGGAGGGAAAACAAATTTCTACGGCATTCAAGCTGGCTATAGTGAATTTTCAGTTTCAGAGGGTGACCTCTTAGTTTAGTGTTGTGGTTCAATTCCAGCGGCGGACGGCAAATGTGGTTTGGGTTCTTCAGAATCTGGTAAACCATTATGTGATCCCCTCGCAAAAGCCGATGTCGACTGCTGCACATTCTTAGAGATTTCAGTCTAAGCTGATGGGGGAGATGAAAGAGGCCCCTGACTTTCTTGGTTGCCCGTCGTTGAGGAGTCTCAAGAGCAACGAGATCCTGTTTCTGCCACGGCTGCCACGCCTGAATATCATATTCCACGTGAGGTCGCACGTAGGCGTTAAGCATTTGAGGGTTCAAACCAACCGAAGGCTCTGCAAAGAAGGCCAAAGTGTTGATTGCCGGTTCTCGTCGCCTTCTTGCTTGTTTTATACACCCGAGAACTTCCTGTACCAATACACCCAGGTCAAGCTCCTGAGAAACCTTCGCTAAGATTTAGTTTGGTAGGTGAATCTGTGACAACCCATGGTTAGACGATATAATGTCACATATGTTGAAGAACTTGTCTGTATTGTAGGTACCAATTTTCAATACCATGTAGCTTAACAGCCCATAAAGATCAGCCGTCCACGGTGCACTCTCCCTGTTGGTCCGTGAACTGCAACATAAGATTGGGGATGGAAATTTCTAATTAGTTTTTATGCCTATTAGTGGTGTGAATAAAATACATTTATAATGCTATAAACGTCCATAAACGCGGACCTTCTTTTTATTGTACGTATTTGCTAAAGCTGGCTTAACGTGGCATTTCACTACCCCCATTGGCCGTTCACAGTCGTCGTTTCTGGATGCCGATCACAGCTCCACCTTGACACTAACAATATCGATTTTATTTCCGTTTGCGTCCGACGGGGTTTTTCTTGCGCGATTCTCCAAGTTATTTTCCTTCACTTTCAGTGCCCAGATTAGCCTCTAATTTTACGCGTCGCGCTAGATAAAAATATAGCTTTCCAAAGAAAAACCCCAGAATTTTGTTCTCGTCCCCTTGTGTTGTCACAAACATTAGTGGTTAAAAGTAGCCGAGTGCTGGACACACCAATTTTCAGTGTATATAACTTTATCAATCAGGACCGTTTTTCACAGTCAGTACCTTCAGCAAACCACGTGCGCAGATCGCGAAGCATTTCTCTAACATTGGCACTCCTAGGTAAATAAAAAAGAATGTTGTTTCATTTTCTATTTTTAGCGTCATTCTATGTGGCTAAACCGGTACATTCTTATTTTTTTACTTTTCAGCGGAATTTTTGGGTGCTGTCTCATACCGTTCTGTTGCGACAGCTGCAAGGACGCAACGCACTCTTGTCCACGGTGCGGATCGATAATCACCACGGTGAAACGTTGCTGAATGCCTCTGCAGAATGCGAAATTTTGTACCACAAGAAGAATGCGCCTATCAATGCCTATAACTCTTTTGTACAACACACAAGCACTTGATTTTTCCTACTTTTACTACTGGATGTTATGGAGAGATGGACGAAAGTCATTTACGCACATACAGCAAAAAGAACATTTTTTAGACCAACATTTCTCTCCCCCTTGCTTACAGTATGAAACACGGCTGGATCATGTCGAAAAAGTGAACCATGATAATTAAGCGGTCGGAAGAGGGATAGTTGAATTACAACGTAACAAGGTCAAAGACACTCAGCTAACAAGTAGGTCGTACGCATCCATCTAATTGAAATAACAAACTGGTCTGATGAATAGATTTTGAAAGGCAACATGCTCTCAAGCGGAATGCGGAGTTTGCGCGACGAAATCAAAGGTTCACTGCATTTCTGCCTCCATCTTATAGTCGTCAAGGTAACTACTAGCGGAGGATGGGTTGGGATATTTCGCAGTTAAATGTCAATCCGTGTTGATCGGCTATCCTCCCCATGGCTCAGGGGCATAAGCTGCTGGCTAGTGGTGCAAGCCACTAGCGGCTGTTGGCTAGATCCCTAGCAGGGGACCGAGGAACTGCGAACCGCTGACGAGACCCAACAGAACAAAAGCATCGTCTGATGCTTTTCCGCATTGATAGCTCATCTATGCGGCTTGTAATCTAACTGCCATGAACCAGATGAAAACTACTAGAATGTTTAGCAATGCCCATTATTATTTCTGCTTGCCAATATGTCTGGGATTACTCACTAGACGGATGTGCCCTCAAGCTTGGCAAAACCCGCAACACAATGCAATACACATATATTAGACCGGTATGTCTACAGTTTGAAAGCTATACTGACTCGCAGGTGATCGAAAGACTTTCAACACGGAGAATTGTTATATGAAATAACTGGTTGCGTAAGGACTAATGTCACCTAGCGGATGACCCAGCTTCAATTCACTTCATTGTTGAAGCAGTCTTCCTGCTTGGTACTGCGAATAAGATTGGGTAACTTGTATCGCCGACAACGCTTAAGAGTCTCTTAAGAACAAAAAGGAATGTAGTAGCATCCATTAATTCGCAACCTTAACCTTCTCATGAAACCCACCTAAACCGTAAACATAGGATGCAACTCGCCGATTCGCGTTTAGCTCAATTGAAACAACAATGTACAAGGTTGGACTTAGTAGTTACACGACATCAGTCTTATCGCAAGACCAAAAGCAAAGCCAACGAGGTTAATCGCTTATTGCGTGCGTAGACCCCGCATTTCAAACTACCGTTGCCCAAATTGTTGAGACTGCATAGAAATACAGCGCAACAGTAAGGACAATAAATTAAAGCATAGGCTTGATATCATCTGACGTAGATGAGCCGTATTACCTATAATGCAACAATGGTTTAACATTTGTAAAATGGTATGTGTGTAAAATACAAAACAGAAAGAAATCCGTGGGAGAAGTAGAAACTTATGTGAAGCGAAGTTAGCCACTATATCAGGGAGCAAATATATGTGTAAAAGAAATAAAAAGGACCTTTAAGTCCTCTCAAGCTTCTTGCCCTTCTTATGTAACGACACAGGAACCCGACTTCGAAAGGCGAGCGGGTCGTGCCTTTATAACCAAAGGACAAACTTTGTTCGTATGTTAATATGTCCTACTCATTCCATTGTTGAATTGTTCTATCACCTGTCTTCTAATCAGGCAACCTCACAGGACCTGGCCTTAAAAGATTTGTGATGGCAGTTATAGTTTAGCGGCTACTTCTGGAGCTGCGTTAGTCTATTCACACTTGACTTGGTCAGCCTCTAGTCGAAATGGCTTGCGACGATTGGACCGAATCATCGTGAGTTGGTTACTGGAACGATCAAAGTGTTTATTACGCACTCAGTGCAAGACAATACCCACTTCACTACGCAGGGGACTGCCCACCATGGAAGAACTTTGTGGGATTATTTTGGCTTCAAGTTCATTAACTAACGGCGGAGAGCCGAAGATCATCTTGTCATAGTAATGTTTATGCTAACCAAGGGCGTGGTGCAAGAGGATCCAATCAGCTTGATGCACACATCAAAGTGAGCTCAGTGGCCTGCAAACCTATTCCGTTACTGATAACTGCGACTGTTACACTCCGGGGAGAAGCAAACCGGAAAGCAAGTGTGACTCCGTTCCTGTCTGCATAAAGTATGCAATTTGTCAGATTGGGGAGTGTAACGAAAGTCGATAGACAAGCAAACATTTGGGAAACATGTTGCCTCATTTGTTGGCATTCTGATGCATAAGCACTGTCATTATTAATTTGAAGGACCGAAATATTCGTTCAAATGCCCGTACGCACTCACATGAGTTTCACGCCGGACAATGCGATGAAAATCTGCTATCCATGCGCCTGTAAGCCTGTCTCGGCATTGACGACTTCAGTCCAGAAGCGCTTATTGTAGCGCCTGATATCTTGCCTGAACACATACTGCGGTTTTTTCCAGCATTACATTCACGAGGGAAACGTTCTTGGAATATAGAGAAACGGGTTAACAAGTGCAATTTGCAAAGTGGGAAATGAATCCGACCCAGTTAATTAACGACCGGTGACTTGCAGCTGCCTACAAAAATTATGGAGGCTATCTTTGCCGACGCACATTTGTCTTGCCTGAACGGTTTTAACCATATTGCTAAGCAGCAGCATGGCTTATATCAGAATCAGTCGTGCACTACGCACAAATTGCTAGCACGAGGCAGCTGAAGCGAAACGGTGGATGCTGATGCAGGAGCTGATGTGATTGACCTTGACTTATCTAAGACATTCGACCAGTTACATCATCGTAACTTTTTATCTAACCTCTAAGGTGGTGGCATTGGGAATCCTCTCCTCATCTGGATCTGCAAGTTACTCTCGCACAGGAGTCTAGAGATCAGTGTGCGTGCATTCGTCGCAGACCTTATTCACGCCGAATGCAGTTTGCCACAAAGTTCGTTACTGGGGCCCCTCCTATTCTTGGTCCTCATTAACAAGATAATGAGTCAACACACGCCAAACTGTTCGCTCTACGACCATAACGTCAAAATTTAACGAGCTTTAATAGTACCAGAAGCCCGTATCCGGCTACTAAACAACCCCGGCAAGATCTATGGGTGGTCAGTCCAAAACCTCCACCTATTCAATTTAGCCAAATGTCGAGGTCTTTATTTACGATACCAACTGGTTCACACTTGTAAGAGGGGGGACCAGGATCAGCAACAGGGCTGTTACGAATAGGATCGCGGTGTACTGCCCCAGGACGATTTCGGTTTCCTCAAGCATTCAGCAAATACATCCACGAAGGGAATTCAAATAGTAGAGCCAATGCAAACAGCTTTTGGACGCTTCGAACCATCTTTTTTCCACAATCTGCTTTTGGCTTACCAACACCCTCATGCTGAATATGCAATACAAAACATGACATCTGTGGCTGAAGCGGGTTCTAACTGCCTTGGAGATTCCGCAACATCGGGTGACCAAAAACGTCAAGCTGCGCCAACCACTTGTCATAAGAGCGACACCTCAGAGGCCTGGTATTTTCAGTGGATACAATCGGGGTTTGTATGGCAACCTAATCATGGTCTACCAAATTCCAAACAACCAAAACCACACGTGCTATCATCTGTTGAAGCTGAGTCACAACAAAAAACTGGGAGGTCACTGTCTCAAACTGGCAGAACAATGCACCCGGTTGGAGTGTCGGAGAAACTTCTTCTTGCTGCGTGTTTGCCCGACGTGGCGTACACACTCAGAAGCTGTTGTGTCAGCTCCCGCGCTGGCCATGTTCAAAGTACATGTCGCTGGTGCACTGGCCTTACTACACCATAGCACGCAACCCACACTACACATACAAACAGCAGGAAAGCAACAACACATCAACCCGCTGTCAGTTTTGCCCAGAAACTACAAACGATAATCTTGGATAATATGTAAAATCAAGTGGCATTTCGTTTACCCGCTGTATGGTTGGATTGCGACTCGCAATCTCTACCCAGACCTCGGTCCTCTTTGAAGTAGACCTCGGTCATTACGATCACAAGGACCATAACCGAATTGGTGGTTCGGTGTTGCTCCACCCAACCCTGACACCCCAGACCCGGTTTCGTGTTCCTTTGAACCTGGAATTCTTTACCGCTGTGCCAAGCGTTGCTGGCGGTGCTTAGAGTCATAGTTGCAAGGCATCAACCTTTGAACACTAGGCCTCGAGGTCCACCCCAGCACAGGTTATCTCCATCTGATGAGTCCAAAGGAGAACGAAACCGGTTATGGGGTGTCAAGATTTGGGAGGAGCAACACCGAATCACCAATACATAAAACTTATTGTGAACTGGACAGCAGGGGATACTGTAAACGGCAACTTCGCAGGTTGGCGTTGCCCGACATTTTCTATGGCTATTTCGGCCCTCATTTTGCCCACCCCTAACCGATCCTTCGGCGGGAAATGTCAAGCTTAGCTTTTTCCGCAACATACCATTGACAATTGACTTAGTGGTGATTTGCTGTTTTCTTATTTCTTTATGTTCCAAGGACTCGGTATATTTAGAGTACGAACTCCCTCCCAAATCAGGAGCAGCTGTCTCAGTGTAGAAATACTGATGCTTCCCGACTGATGCACTACCACTGTTGCTAAAGTAAACATATCAGTTTGAGCAATCGGCACAGTAACGCATCAATTGCCAAAGTAACCCATCAGGTCCAAGATCAAAAGAGGTCCTTTTGGTGCATGAGAAAACAGCCACATAACGTCTACACGCACCAGCACATTAGGATATCTGGTCTTCATGGGTCGCAAATAAGAACGGTTGGCTATTATGGGGTATTTAAAGGGTCCACTGTTCGCGCATGACCGGCATAAGCTGATTACATCCCACGGTTGGTGTGGCTACCAGAAGAGCAGTTGCGCTGCTATTTCCATCTTCCCAATCGCCTCATGGCCTACTTCCTAGTGAAAGTGGCTTAACATATATTTGACCGCTGGCTGTTGGACTACGATACTTTCGGATATAGATCGGCCCAAAGTGAACACCAACACCCCTTCCTAAGTAGCTAGGTTGTCCAAATGGCTCAAAGGTATCGTGATACATAATGTTTCTATCTCTTCACTCGTCGGCCTGTCGCTGTTGTAAAGCC